ACAACAACAATGGACAGTAAAGAGAAGTGTAAAATAACAAACGTGGGTTCTACATCTTTCGCTGTATTAACTACATCCAGAGTCTGTTTTTTTTTTCTCAGTTAGCTTCTTTAATTTACCAACACAGCAGATATGTCAGATTTGATAGAAGGCATATAGAAAACCTGCACTAGAAAGGATAGCCAATAATACAATCATGGTAATTGCTACTACCTGCAGCATTAGAAGTGGTATTGAAAAAGTGGAATATGTTTGCCTACTCCCCCTCAGCCTGTCATTGTTTGTATGAAACACAAACATAAAATAGCTCATAATGATAAATGCACCAAAGCATTTTAAAGTGCAGGGATATTTTATGTGAGAAATGAGCACTGCCAATCCCCAGTTGTCTGCTCCTTTCTGCATAATCTCCCTTGGCCTCTTCCACGCCTCATGGGTGCTCAGCACTATGGACAGTTACCCAGCATCCCGGTTGCTGTCCGGGGTGCTGATACATGGACAGAGCTTTAAAGCGTCGCATATTGCACAAGCAGTATAAATACTAGGTTGCTGTCCAAGGAGCTGAACTCCTGATGCAGGATGCTGAACGTTTACAATAAAACAAGACAATGCATATCATTTGAGTCATTGGGGGGCGGCTGGTTACTTAATGAGCAAAGCTTTTTAAACCTGGTTACCCCTAAATTGCAGATCTAGCCACGCAGCAGACAAACTAAAACACAAATATCTTAGGACAGGCATATTTATGGTTATTTAGCTTGAAAATGAATTGTATAGTCACTGTCATACAATGTGCACTATGCGTTCTGTGTCCTGATATTTCTCTAATTCCATAGCACAAGCTGTAAACTACCTATGAAACATCTCCAAGCGTTTTCATTGTTAACTGGGTAATTTCTTGATTTCGTTTCCAATTTAAATTTCCCCTCCCTTGCTGTGCAGAGTAATACTGTGTAGAAGGCGGGTCAGCGCGTCAGTGTGGGAGAAATCCAAGGGCCCATCATCAGTTGCGCTGAGTGAGCCGAGCTGAGAGATGCGCGTTCACTGAGCCGAGGAGAGGAGGACCGCTGCGTTTCCTCCACCGCGCCTCACTTATAATAACCTCCTCATCACCAGCATGAGCATCTCACCACCCCGGGCTGACAATAAGTAAAGATACTACGCTTTCTGGATGGATTTTTGCTCTGGATTATTCTAATTTATATTTGTACACAGGCTTTACCCGTCCGGATTCGTCTCTCTGCACGGAAAGGTAAGAGCACATTTAAACTGGGTTATTCATTTAATTAACACGTCCCTCGTGCAAAAAGCGGTTTTGTGGAGGTATTTATACTTCAGGAATCTGAAATTGTCTGCACGAGTCTCTTTCCTGATAATTTAACGTGGAATTGGTGACTTTGGTCAGAGGAGGGGATTTAAGCGCAATGGGATGGTTTGGATGATGAGTTTGAAAGCTCTCGCCCGCAATTTAACCACAGAATTGCGGGCGATTCGAGTATCCACCACGTCTCAAGAGACCGCGTTTATTTGTCAGTGTAGAAGCTGTGACAAATATATTTGCGGTGACTGAGTAAAGGGCGATGAGAGGGAAAGTTTCAGCCCACCGAATCGCAGTGTCACGGAATGGAGAGCTCCGTTTATTATGTTTTATTCACATCAGCCGAAACTGCCAGAACTTCTTACGACTTGTACATGATTTCCCACAAATACAAACCCCGACTCATGGTTCAAATTTCGCTTCGTAATTTTCAAAGCAAAGGGCTCGTAAACCCTTGAGCAACAGTCAGACTGCCACCGTGCGAGGAGCAGGGGGAAAGCTGGAGCGCTGCTGGAAAATGTTGCTGCCCGCTGTTTAATTCATCGGAGCATGGACTGCTGCGACTCGGGTTTCCAGACGGCTTCACTATCAGTTGGACTCAAATATTCGAGCAACTGATCAGAATTAGCAGTGGGGTCGATAAAATGCAATGATTGTGGCTCTCATGTTGTGCGAGCGTGTCTGTGTGGGATGGAGAAATCCAATGAGGATTTAAACAGAGACTAAACATTTCATTTATATCGCGAACATTGTCATTATGTCCTATATCCTTATTAATGACAGTCACCTTTATTTAAAAAAAAAAAATAGTCTAGATAATAATGATTGTACATAGAAGTAACTATTGTTTTCTTCAGATTGATTTTTATAGTCTATAGATAGCAGATAAAGTTAAATTATCCTACTATATTCTTGAATACAAACTTCTGAGTTTTGCACACATGTTCTTTGGGTGGCGGACAGAAAGAACAGGTTTTTCGTGTCATATCAATCTAATAAAGGTCTGCGTTTGCCCTATTGTGTTCTAAATCTCTGAGGACAGACCAATAAATGAAGGAGCCCTCTGATTTGGTTTTGTTTGATCAGACGATGGAGAGGTTGACACTGCGTCTAAAGGCATTTCCTCACAATTAGCCTGGTTCCCTTAGTTTTTTGTTGGTGACCGCCTGGTATCTCCCTTAAGGCCCTCTGGTGGTCCCTGGACCTCACTTTGTCTAACCAGCGATAGACGAGCAGGTCCGGAAACACTCGCAGTGTAGCACCCTGTTGTCTGCTGTGACTGATGTGGGATTAAATCGTTCCTGTAGGCTACAGCTTGTGATGGACAGGGAGCACAGCGGGGGATGGAGGGGTCTCCAGTGTGTGATGGAGAGGTAGTCTATATTACAAAACATGTCAATAAATCTGCAGCTCCGAAGCTGGATGCATCAATGCATCATTTATCCACTGACGGTATCCCGCACGGGTCATCTCATATCCGTTTCCATTTAATAATTCAACGTGTATGTATCCCGGAAAATATGTGCTTATTCCTGCATACTTATATACTATCATGAACAAGAGCTAGTTAACGTAACTGTGTAGGGGCCATGACGATGGCAAGGTAGGCCTACACACACTGTAATGTTTAGCATTTCCAAGTTTTATTAATTGAGAGAAAGCTAATTTTAAGCAAATTCGACAAGTTTCTAACTTCTTCAAAAGTGGCCAAAATTAGTGTTTAAATTAACTTTCTTGCCCTTCAGTGTGAGGCTAAGGACATATTCAGAAGTTACGAGGCGTGTGGTTAGCTAAGTGTCAGTAATATGTTGTGTGAAACTTTACTATTTTAACGATATGTCGACATTTGACAAGGGTTTCATGTGTTAGTATGTAAGTAATTGAACATGAACTATCTCTGAACATTATTTTAAAATGACAGGTGTTCGGGTTAAAGGCTAGTGACGTTAAAAAAAATCAACAAGAATTCCTTGAGCCATTATGTCTTTAGTTAACTGAGATAAGTGAGTTAACATGTTAGCATTGTTAGCATCCCCTGACATATCAATGGCTCACAGGGACACCTGATGCCTCAGTTAGGCAATACACACAAGAAGTTGTGTTAATTGAATAGAAGCCAGGGCCAATTTTAATAGGACTCTGGCATCTCAGGTTTCATTGCTGTATCGAGCTTGGCCTATTCAATAGACACACAGAGCACACAGCACAACTCTAGTTGTTAGTTGGATTGACACAGCTGTGTTCAGGGTTATTTTCACCACACAGAACCTTTTAACCTCTGTGCTGTCTCACCGAGTCACTTTTAAGGCAAAGACAATGATCCAGCTAGGCAACCCAGCGCTGTCAGAGAGACATACACATGCACACGCCTGCACAGGGACAAACATGCGTGCACACAGTGCATTAGCATAGGTATCGGTTACTTGAATTCAATAGCTCGCCTGCTGCAGCAAGATTAACTATTCAGGGCAGGTGGTTAAAGGCCCTATTGTGTTGCATGGTTCTGTGCTTCTGTCATGATCGGACAATGCATTTGTCTGGTGGGCAGCCCACTGCCAAAACAATCGCAAGGGCAAAGGGCTGGAAGAGTACACACACATATAAGGTTTCTCCATGTGAATCATTTCTAGCCCTGCTGAGCAAATTTAAACAGAACTCAATGAGTACAGGAGTAGCAAACAAGGGCTATTATTGCACTAGTTAATATTCCATTGCAGTGTCATCCAGGTTTCAGTGTTGTTAAAAGATTTGAATATGTATTCACTGGAAGAAAATGTTAATAACGGCAGGATTCGAATATGAAGTCCTTACATCCTTCTGAATAGCTGTTTATGATTGTAATCCCCCAAAGACATGCAAATGAGTAAGAGAGTGGCAGTGGATAATTAGTCATATTTATCAGGATCCCAGCAGGCCCCGGCAGATAGCATGGTAACGTTTGAGGCTTAACACATGTTGTGGCTCACCTCAATGGATTTTTACTCATCACACAATCAGCAAAAGCAGACTCTTACATATGTATGTTTTTTTTTGTCACAACCTTTTTTATTATGCAAACCACTGTATGGAAATAGAATTGTTAAATTCAGGCATTAAAAACAAGATCGATTCTTTGAGTTGATCATCTTCAAATAAAATAGGCAATTGGGAGATATGGCACCCTAAGTAAATGCTCTTAAAACCTTTAATAGATGATAATAGTGTTATTTAGTTGGATTTAATGGCCACATGGAGGGTTAAATCTGCATTCAGTGGCACTCTCAATATCCTCTTTCAGCGTGATCTTAAATCATTGGCTCATGTACTGTATTCTCCATCTTTTAAAAAAAAACATTTGACCTGACCTTTCCACACTAATGTATGGTGATATAACTGCATAAACCTTATAAATACTGCCTAAAATTATCTCAGAGTTGAAATCAAGGCCTCTTTCACACAGTGTCAATTAAAATGACACAGCTTTCAGAACTGATGTACTTGTTGCAGTGTTTATTAATTGGATAGTTTTTGAATTGTTACATATAATGTACGCATTTATTTTTATCTCACAGGTTTATGGTTCAGTTATTAGTGGACAACAACACTGCAACTCCTGTGTAATCCAAATTGAATAGGAATACGTGAGTTCTTGCTTAATGTGATGTTTGTCCTTCTTCTTTTCAGTTCTGTCATAGTTGGAGATTTAACCATGGGGCAGGGAACTGGACCAACGATGAAGGTTATCCGCTTCAATCCAGGAAGTCGCCTCAAGGAAAAATCCAAAGATGCAGCTCTGAATCACTGACAAAACACAGAAAGGAGCGCCTTCATATTTGCACTTTTATCAGCCCATTTTGTGTGGAAATTGGATATTTTCCATATTTCTCTGCATAGCCTTGGCTAAGGAGATTCAATTTTATCCACTATCAACATTAGATCTGCTTCACAAAAAAAAAAATGGATATTGCATTCTCCACTTGACTGTATAATTATCTATGTGGAATATAACATTCAGCCAATAAATTCAGACATCAGATGTAATTATCACTCTGAGGATTCCCCTTTCTTACCCTCCTCTGGTGCACCTGTTATTCTCTACAATGAATCCCAACAGCATACCTGGGCATTTCCTCTTGCTGCTTAGCACCATGCTGGGCCTGAGTGTAGGCCTGGAGTTTACTGGCTCTGAAGGTCAGTGGGCTCGCTACCTCCGCTGGGACGCCAGCTCCAGAAGTGACCTGACATTTCAGTTCAAGACTTCAGAATCCGAAGGCCTACTGCTCTACTTCGACGACGGCGGATATTGCGACTTTCTTCTTCTGTCTGTAACCAAGGGTAAGCTCCAGCTTCGCATCAGCATCGACTGCGCCGAGACCACCATCACCTCGGACAAAATTGTCAACGACAGCCGTTGGCACTTTGCAGCCATCAACAGGCACAATTTGAGGACTGGCTTGGCTGTGGATGGTCAGACAAAAACTGAGGAAGTGCGGCCCCAGCGGCGGTTCATGAAGATCGTTAGTGACCTCTTCCTTGGAGGACTCCCAGGGGACATTCGCACATCAGCCATCACCCTTCCCACTGTCCGTGAGCTGCCACCATTCAAGGGAATTATCACAGACCTCAGTTATGGAAGTAAGCTACCTACGCTCATCAATAGTCAGAAAGTGCGCTTGGAAATGATGGGCCTTTGCACAGAGAACCCCTGTGAGAATGGCGGGATCTGCTCGCTGGCAGATGGAGAAAGCTACTGCGACTGCTCCAGAACTGGATACGTAGGTCGATACTGCACTGAAGGTAAGACAGCGGCCCAAGAGCTTTCAGTATCAAGCGCCCAATATTGATTAAAATCGTTTGTGAAAAAAACATGAGGGTATACCATACTAATTGATGTCTTTACAGTTGCTCTTCTGCTTCCAGGTACACTGTAAAAATTGTGATCCCCCTAGTATTTGCTTTTTGCATAATTTATATGTAATGTTTAAATTACCCCATGGTGAGTAGCTTATCTCCATTAAATCAGAATATTTCTTTCAATGTTGTTGCCTTACAGCTTCTTGTAGAAAGTCTTCATATTTCATGTGGGGGTTGAATTGGAGTTGATGTGCTCAGCGTTTCCTCTTCCTTCACAGTTATTACTTTTGATGAGGAAGCGGTGGATGCAGCATTAGCTGATATGACTAAAATTACAACACTCAGTTCTCTTTTCTCCGGTAAATGTATTCAGCTCCTGCAAGATGGTGCAGGGACCTGAAGGTACACACAGTGTTTGGATGAGAAACAACTTCATCTATTTTTCCTCTGCTTCTATGCCAAGGTCATCTGTTTTCTTCTGGGGGGAGTGTAATGAGATGCAGCACTTTGACAACTTTCTATCCTTTTCTATCTCCACACCTTTAGAGGTGTAGGCATACATACTAAGAACTTTTCAGCTAACACGTATGTTTGCTATCAAACAGCCCTGAGACAGTGATATAATGCCAGAGTCACCTTTATAAATTGCTTCTGGTCCTTTCCTCCCTCTTAAGGAATTACTATAAAATGTTATTTGTCCTTGTATGCTGAACTATTTTTATTTTTTGGTATGGCTTCTGCTAGTTGATGGCGTCCTAATGTTAAAACCTACACATTTCAAAGCAAACCACTTCGATGGCCTTGAGAATGAAGCTGATGCCAAGAACAACACAATTTCCTTCTTCTTTGATTCTGCATCTTCAATGTCATAAAGAAATTCAATAATCCAGAGAATACACAATTCACTCTAATCTCACACTCTTTTCTTCATGTGTATGGACTGTAAAAGATAACTGTGTGAATAGACCCATGTCAAATTTCCTCCACCGTTGACCCACTTCCTGCCTGTCTAAATCACTCTGACATGATTTAGGGATGACTTTATTTTGCTGAACACCAGGGGAATGCTCACGCTCTCTGAATGCTTTGTTTGCAAGCTATTTTAAAACCACGTCTAATACAGTTAAGACGTTATAGTTTGTCACCATAATAGCATGCATTTAGAATAAGCATTTGCAGATTTTTGTGCAGCGGTCTTGCTGTGTTCGGTTTCATAACATGTCCTATCGTTTGCTGCTCAAATGAAGCTGTTTGGAGCTTAAATCCCAAGCACTAGCCTGTGGCATTGCTGCGGATAGCACGCGATGTGCTGGTTGCAGAGCAGTCAAGCGGACGGACTGGACTTGCCCCCTTTTTTGCTTCAGCCTATTTGCTCATTGCCTCTGTCGAACAGTCTATGTAGAAGGAGGAGGAGGAGAACGAAGAGGTAGTCCATTTGTTTAAAAGCCTCCTGAGCTGGGTGGGGAACTCTGACATCCCTGTGTTAAAACAACCCAAATTTTAAGAGTGTGCTTGTGACCCAACCAAAAAGCTTTGATGTGGAAAGAGATGGTCATGGCTGAGCCCCAGGGCAGAGCAAGTGTGATGAGTGCATCCACCACAGGCCTCATGTTTCCCAATTTGTCCCAGGAGGTCAGCTGTAGGACAAGAACCAACCGCTGCTTACTGCAACTCTACGTCTGTCTTCCTCGCACAAACGCACACATCTTTTTGCACACCTATTCTCTAACTTCTCCCGTTTTCAGGCAATAAAAGCGCAAGGCATGAAGGGTAGCTCCCAGCTGACGTGACTGCTGCTCTTTCCTGCCTTCCCATTAACTGATGTGGCTGATTGTTGATTATGCCACTGAGACAGGAAGCCATAATTAGGAGGATAATGAGAACAGAGATGGCTAATTTGCCTGGAAAATGCCTGCACAAACACCACCGTCAATTAGATAGTCTATCGGAAAACTAGCAAAAGATTTTTTTTTTTAATTATAATGTCCACATGTCTACAAGTGTCATAGTACTTGTTGTTCAAGCGACCCTAAAGCGCCTGATGTTTCAGAGCCGTCAAACTTTGCCATTCGGTTGCAGTTAGAGGTGAACAACTGCTTAGCACACCTGTCTTTATCTGCATACTGTTGATTATGCTCTACATTAACGAGCAATGAAAGCAATCTGTCAAACCTGTGAATATTTATACGTAACATTATCAGGCTGCGCAGGCCGGGCCTGGCATCGACGCACTCAGACACATTTGCATTTAACAGGCCTGCACACAAACACACAGACAGACACATGGAGCAACGAGGCCCCGGAGCTGCTCGTTAAAATGGGCAGATGGCTGACTGACTGAGTGGACTGGGCCTCGGAAGCATTTTGCCAGCCGTATTCCTAATGGTAGCCTGCTAGCCCACTGGCCTAGAAGCGAAATATGAGAAGTGGGCAGAATTAACATGTGAGATGAGAAATGGGAGAAAAAAAATGCAACAGAGGAAAAGGGTAATGCCTTTCCATTGCGAAATAACTTCCCAATATTCCCACACTGTTTTCCCACTTTTGGTGTGCATTTTTCACAGCATGGGATGGCTGGGTTAACTTTGTGCTGAAACATCATCGTGTCACCACAGCGAGAAGCATGAGACTGTACTGTTGTTGTGTCTCCGAGCTCCTGTGGATTTTCCCCAACTGTTCAGCTCAGCTAGCAGCTTAGCACCGTAAACAGTTGGCCATAAAACACATGTTCAGTCCCTCCTCCATGTGGATGTATCAGTGACTAACTGTGTCAGGGCAATGAGCTGAAATTAGACACCTCTCACTACTCACTCTTCACACGAGTCAACTTTGGCAGGCTGTTCTGCTGTCGTGTGCGGGGCATATAACTCTTTACTTCCTTCTGTTGAATCATCTTTAAGATCAACATGGCTCTGCTCCTGTTATTAGCTGTGCAAATAGCAGTATCTTTTATGGTAATGATCTGGATACTGTCCCTCATTCAGTTCAATTAAATTAATGGGGGTGACATTAAGTCCCTTGAATACCTCTGAGTTTTGCAGTTACTATGTGATATGCATAAGGTCAAGATTATTAAGCATTACACTGGATTGGTGAATGAATATATAAAACAATTTCCCTTTTCCTCTGTTGCATACAAACGTTATGCATTTGAATTTAAGGAGTTTAGAGCTTTTTTTTTTTGCCTATATAATATACACTGCTTTGATGGAAGGCTAGTAATTGAAGGCTGGGGCAAGCAAACTGTTAAGCAAGTGCTAAAATGGTGCCTTCAGGCTTAGCTTTGGGGATTAATAAACAGACATGGAAAAAAATGACAGTTACAATAATCTTACTATAAAAACTAGGTCATGGGGAAAAAAAAGAAAAAAATGGTGCAGGGGACGCGCCTGTTTCCAGTGCAGAGGGCATTTGTGTCTAGTGCCCAAGCTGAAAATTATGTTTGGATTTGAGTGGTGAAGCTGCTGGTAAAATAGAGCAGAGGATTACACTCAGACCACATGTCCTTCGCAGCACATTGGCTTGTTCCGGGTGCTGTCGTATCAAGAGAAAGGGTTTTATCTACATGGGAAACTGAGCGTTTAACACGCACACCGAGTATATGCACGCTTATTGAGCGCAAGTGTAAAAAAAAACATGTGTGCCCGCCCAATCAAGGGTCTTTAAGTCCCATGCAGTTCTTGAGAGCTGGAGCTGTCCATCAGCTGGCCAGTACCCCCCCCCCCCGCCCTTGCCCTTCCCTTTCCTCTTCCAATGTCACCCTTCTTGTGCGGGAAGTGAAGTAGCAGCCATTTTACTCCCTAAAAAAAGGGGGGGGAAAAAACATTCACCTTACCTTCACCAGCTCCTTCTACAGAATTTTTTCCCTCTGCGCCTCCTCTCAAATGATATTAATGTCCTCGGCTGAGTTTGTGAAATTATACAAGGACTTAATGCTGCCAGAGAGGAAAATAAAGCATGAAAATCCTCGGCTATATCCAGTGGTGGGAAACAGGCCAAGCTTCTGTGCAGCCTGAGCAGAGATCAAGGCACAGTACTGAGTCAAATTTACATCAGATATTGTGTATTCGAGCCCACACTTCAAATGTCTAATGTGGTCCGTCTTAATTAAGATATGTTTAATTTCCTCTTGTCAGTCCTTGATGCTCTCGAGGGGCTTTGATTACAGGAATCTTTCAATATTAATTGAAGCTGTATGATGTTGCATAAAAGCTCAGCACCTATCCACAGATTTACTGAGACTGGATTCACCGAGGGATCTTTCATATGCCCTAAATCAGAGTGGCATTTTTTGAAACCCTGAAGGTGTCGTTCATGGGTGAGATCCTACTGAGAATTTGCAAGAGATGAAGCTTAAAGTCTGGCTTTTTTTTTTTTTTTTTTGCCACACTTTGAATTCCCACAGTGAGCATTCCCCTGAGAAACCACAAGGGGTGCATTGGATTTGGGTCAGTGTGCAGAAAATGTTGGGTGGGTGGTTAAAAGGGCAAAAAGGAAGGTGGAGGAGAAAGATCTGGGTCTAAGAAGGAGCATCAGGAAATCCACAAATCTCACAACACCATAAATCCTCATAGATTTATGCTTCTTTGAATGTGTGTGAGGCACTCTGTGTGATACAAGATGCAGAATATTATGTTATTGTCACGATATTCAGAAATGTGAAAGAGTTGTTTTCTTAAAGGTGTAATGTCAATCTGATTCCAAAAAGCGGGACAGATGAAATGTTAAGTGTTTCTCTCCACAGGGATTTATACTGGTATTCTGATCAGGCATGTCAAGGGGCAGCTCTTTGCCCCTTACATGAAAGAAACAATGCTTAGAAGTGTGCTCTGTTTTGCATGTTAGCTCCACATGCAAACTCAACTGAAGTGTGATGCTAATGCTGGACTTCTCTTTGCTTTTTTCCTTTTCTGTGACACCTCCACAGCAGTCCAGAGAACACCAGGTGAGTTTTAAGAAGGGCTACTGTCAGTTGTTAAAAACTACTCTGTTAACTTTAAAAAAGCAGACTGTATTAAGTTGTAAAGTCAAGCGAAAGATGAATCAGTAATCCTGTAGTGTGATTTAAAATGTATACTTGATTAAACAACCTGAAGAACTACTATATATTCGCAGTCTGTGTTGCTCTCTTTATTAGTCATCTGCCTGCTACTATAGAAAGCTTTTAAATGCATTTGGGAAAGCTTTGCTTTTAGTGTGTCAGCCATGTTTTGTTTCCATACAAAGCATGCGTATTAACAATACAACTATAGTATTGGTGTGCTGTTGTTTTCTTACATTTTCTCTCTGTCCATGTCTGGTTTTTTCTCTTCAAGGCCTCGCACACCTGAAGGCAGAGCAAGGTACTCTGTTCTTTGTCTTTCTAGAGTTCTGTTGTTTGTACTTGTTCGCCTGGCTTGGTTTTGAGGCGTGATGTTACGCTGCGTGCCTTCACTACCTGTCCGTGTGCATTTGTGTGTTGCAATGCTTCCAGTATATCTGCAGAGAAGTGGGAGGGTTTTTTTGTGTATGAGTGTGTGTGTGTGCTAAAAGGGAGGGAGGAGGGCTACATGGCGGCGTGGCATGTTTCTCATCTCACCTTCACCCCGCCCCCCTCTCTCTCTCTTGCACTCTCCCTCTCCATGGCTCTGTGTCTCCTCACCCTTGATTCACCCAGGTTTCTGTGTATTACATAATTGTATACTGTTCTCAGTTCCACAGCTAACATGCAGTGACACACTCCACTGTTCCTGCTCGACCTCTGCAGCGACAGCGTAGGGGAGGGGTTGGAGGGGGGAGGATGAAATCCAGGGAAGCAGGAGGGAGGATAAGAAAATCATTGGAATTAGGGAAGACAGCTTAGAGTAAGAGTACGGGGGAGAGGGGTACTGGAGATAGAGACGGGGGAAGAGGAAAATAAAAAGCAAACAGTGTCATGTTAGGTAAGGTATACATGAAAGACAGAGCCGAGTATTGCATCAAATTGCTTTCATATTTACAGCCAGTGCCTGGGAAAGTAGATTTGGAAAGATAGAAGGGTGTAAAGGTCGGGGTTGTGTATAGAGTTAAACCTCAACTATGCAGATAAAGGCTGCAGCTATTTACTAATGCAATTACATTTCATGTTGGCAACAAAAGGCATTATATTTTCCTCTGCAAACATGTTTTAGTTACCTGACCTCAGCTATTATTAAACTTTAGCCAATTTGCATTTCTGACTCACACCATACCTTGGTCACTAATTCATTGTGAAACTTAAAAACAGCAGTCAATCATTACTTTAAACAAAGCAACTGCAAATTTAGGTCGTTTGTTTTTGTGGCGTATTGCATGGCATTGTCAGCCCAATTCACAATTGCAGCATAGTCTAGAAACTGCAGGTAATTTAGAATTTTAAGGGTTGTCATCAATCAAGATGCCCATGTACGATACAACCAATGTGACATAGGGGCATGGGGCTTGATGAGTTGGCTATGAATGTTTGAGTATCAACGGTTTGGTAAAAGGAACAGTCATCCTTACAGCTTGGTCACAGCAGCATTCATTACAGTGAAATTTCTCACACCAAAAAACTTCAATGTTGCCTTCAAGACTTTCTTTTTCTTCCTCTAAAAAGTGAGGTCAACTTGACTAAGTGCAAAGAGGTCATACAACAAATTAAGTGTAGGAATGCAACTCACCATACAATTAAAAAAGAAGAAGAAAAGGTTCTTAATTTGGGAAGTGTCGGGAATGTGATGCTTGTTTGTGCCTCTCCCATTTCTTCACACCATTTGCATGATTGTCAATATTTTGCATGGAAGTGTCAGTTGTCAGTGTTCAGGCTTTCTGTAGACTAACTGTAGTTATCCCCACTTTTTGCTGTCTTTCTCTGGTGCTCTGCGCGGGATGACACTCTTCCCTCTTTTATCTCTACGGACCCTTTCTCCTCTCCAAAAACTGTAGGTAGAAACAAAGGTACAGCAATCCTTTTTTCCCTACTGTACTCTTATCTGCGCTGCAGGAGCTGTGTGTGCGTGTTTCCTTTGCCGTCGTTCGAGTGTGTGTTGAAATAGCGCTTGTGCTGCCACTGGTTAATCATTCATTATGTGTGTTCATTAAAAGTATGCACATGCTCATCTGTGGGTCTGAGAGAGACAGTGAGAATCTCGGGATGTGGCCGCTAGCGAGCGAGCGAGCGCCCACATTCACTGTTGCATGAAGGGTGAGTGATTGAACAGAGAGATGAGCGGAGATGGAGAAAGATACAGTGCCAGTTCTTGAGACTATGTGATTATCACTGTTTAAGATGAAATGATGAGCGTGATGAGAGTAAGCTGGGTAATGGATTATTCAGTGCAAACAGACAATATTAATAATTGAATGTTTATGTGAAGATGAGGCATACATGCCTTTGTGTTTACATCAAGAGTGTGTGTTTGTGTTTGTGTGTAAGGGCTTAATTGGACGTGACATCTCTCTGTGTGTTGGAAAGGACTTGATTAGTGAATGTGACCTGACATTTGGCTTCATCTGAATGAGGTCATAGTCGTGGCTTCTGTATATTGTATCCGTGCAGAGAATATCCTCATTATTCATTTAACAAAGCCATGTGATACACTGTGTACTTGTCTGTGTGGTCATATGTCTTATCTGTGTGTATGTGTGTGTCTTCTAAGGCTGTTAGCCGCATGGAGGAAAACAGTGAATTTGATAACTTGTGTTGATCGACATCAGTTTGATTGACTATAAAAGTGGCTTCAACAAGAAACTAGCTACAATGGTGCATGTGGTGCTAATGCCCGCTTATGATTATACATCTTTCAAAAATCTATTGATATTGAGTAAAGTAGGGTTGTGTGTTTTGTGATATTAGACTGAATTTAGATGATGGGTTTCCTGGTTTACCTTCAGGTGTTTTAGTACCGGTTGTTTAAATGCCTCGGTCTGAGCCTTTAATGCTGCAGCATTGGTTATCAATGAGTACACCATTAAACAAATGCAGCCAATTCCATAATTAATTAGAAAATCCATTCATCTCTTCTCTCCAAAACACTTATCTACACTGAAATGATACTTACTAACTGCCACTAAAACCATGTCTTGCTAGAGAGTGTGTAATGTTAATCAAAGATATTAAATTCTGAGTGATTTAACATTTTATTGCTCTATTTTTTTAACGTAAAGTTAACATTATAATAGACAGCTAAGACACAAAAATAAAACAATTTCTTGTAGGGTTGTAACGATAACATAATTTTGAACTTGGTTAAGATACAAGTAAAAATCAAATGATATTGATACCTGTTTTGATACCATGCAACAAAAAATAAGTCCTTGGTACCCAATATTAGGTAATTTTTTGTTTCTGCCAATAATTGCATGCAAACTCTTGCACACAGTTTGAATCGTAACATACTTTTCTATGTTGTCATCATTAATTTAATAGAGAATGTATCCTTAAAAAAGTGTTAACAAGTATCAATGTATCAAAAATGTTGTCAATATTAGTTTCATATATCCAGTAAAAACTAGTTTCATGTCACAGTAGTAATTCTGACACTCTATAGCAGATAAAAGGCATGAGCAGAGGCCGCAAGCTGAGCTGCAGCAATATTAGCTTAGCTTGCTTTTAGTTGCTAAGCGTGCTTTTCATGATTGCTTCACTTTAGCCACGCCATGCACCAATGATAGCAACTAGACCATCCATTATATCTACACTGGTTTAACCTACGGCTGTTCAATAATCATGATAATAAAAACCTGTATATATTTTTTATCGTACGATCATCAAAGCGGAAGTTAATAACAAAACAGACTTGATCCTCAGATCTAGGTATCAGAATGGTACTTTGAAGTCAAAAGTGGTATCGGAAAATCTGTAGTGTTCAGGAATCAGAACGATTGGCTCCATATCAGACTCTGCTCTGTATCCCCATGTGGATGGGCTGAAACCAGAAACAGAGTTCCCTTACGCTTGCTTAACAACTGCAAATTAGGTAGCGAGAGCTTGAGCAGTGTGTAGTGAGGCGTCCTGCAGCGGTTCAGTTGTTTGCTCTGTTGCATAACAGATTAAGATGGACCCAGGTTGGATTCTTTCCTTGTCGTGTCTGGCGGGGTTTCCTCTGGGACTTAAGGTTTCCTGTCCAAGAACATGAAAGTCAGATGGACTGGGGTCATCCATGAGGAGACTCTTGAGACCCTGTCAGGAATGATTTTATTGAGAGAATGAAATAGTTGGTACTGACTAATATATCCCTTTACAATCATTCGAGATATAAATGGCGAAGATTCTTAACACATAGCTAATCATGGCATATTGAGTATGAGGTTACATGAAGTTTTATTGAGGAATCTTAGGACTGTGTTGAGTTAAACGCTCAGTATCTTACAGCAGGTCTCTTTGCTATTAGATTCTTGTCTCTGCAGTATGTACTGTAAATGGCACAGCGGTCAGAGGGCACAGTAAGTGGGACACTGGGGGACAACAGACTGGAGCATAGACCCTTGAGGACCGACCGGAGAGAGTGGAGGAGGGGGCTGAAAGCCACAAGACAAAGATGGAAGGAATAAGGATGAGAATGCTGCAGAAGAAGGGGCCAGGGGAGTGCGCCAGTGTGGCGAGGTCACATGTTTCCGATGAGCAATATGGAGCACCTTGTCATCTCTGGCTTTATGCCGCATGCAACCCCAGCCATCTATCCAGGAAGTTTTAGGCCTTTGATATCTGCAAAGGCCCAGATGTTGTTGGCTTAGAGATGTGACTATTTGTGATGCATAGCTTTGACGTTTGGAGGAAACTTTTTCTAAGCCATGGCAGTGGACCAGGAAGTGTGCTCCACTTAGCAGCATTGCTCTAGATAGCAACATGCTGCATTACACCTGCAGGTGTGTAAAGTTTGTTAAGCTCCACCAAGGCCAAACATTATCTCTTATTTTGGATTTCATGAGTTGAAAAGGAGTTTCAGCAGGATTTTGGATTACATTTTCCTCACCTGGTTGCATATTGAACAATTTCATAATGCTAAATTTGACGGATGTAGTGAGCATAAGTACCAATCAAAGAGCCAATTTACGGCTGACACTGATGTGATCATACCTGGATGTGTCATGCAGATAATGAGATGTGATCACAGTTAATTGCCATGGTTATTATGTGTACTGGTTTACTTAATTATGTTGGGATTGGATAACTGTATTTACTGTAATACACTAACCGTGGAAGCAGTCGAATGCATCAGCTGTTGCATGAGCAGCTTCCAGATGTGATGTGCTAGAGCCAACGGGATTCCAGATGTTATGTGATGCTTCTGTATTTACACACTGAAATAACATATTGGGGCAAGATGCCCTGTTTCTTTTCTTGAAAACATAGTGCTTCCTTGATCTACAGTAAGTGTTTTCAAGGTTTGTATTTGCATATTCAAAATTAACTTAGAAACAACCTTTACTTTAACACAATTTACTATTAATACTACATTTATTTTTTCTAAATCTAACAACCACTTAAGTTAATCGATAGGACCTGCTAGTAAAGCTCTGATCCAGAGTGACGGCTTAGTACGTTTTCTGCTGACACGAGACAAAAAAGAAAAATCATGAAACACACTCTGACCACGCTGTCCAGATCATGATGGTCCATACTGCGCTCACTGACTCATGACATCATTATTTTCTCCCTCATGTCCAATCAATGATGTACTTTCAGTGGACACCTGGAGGGTGTTCATCAGTGTATGACTGTTCAGCCCAAGGTCAGAGATGGGGCTCAATGCTTCAGCCTGCAGCTTTTGCTGCCAGCATTACCTAATGGCTTTCCTCCGAGTACAGAATCATCTATTGTGTGCGTGACAAAAGCTCAATGTAGTGAGAATTTTGCTTGAATGCACACACACAATGGGGGAGAGACGAAATATTGGTTACACCTCACAATAATGCTATCCAGAGTTAATTTAAAACCGTGTTGACATGGTTTCATCAAAGTGTGAGCATTATGATTAAATGTACTACATAGTAATATATTGTACTTTACTGCAGGCCATAGGAGACAATTGCAGGATGTTTCCTGGAATTGCACTCACTCCCTGCACTTAAGATGATACAGTACTGCCAAAGTTGCTTTGGACAGAACTTGGCAATTGGGATGAGTCCACTTCAGAGAGCAGTAAGAGTGGGAGGGAGGGATGGAGTGAGGAGTTCTGCCCGAGTCTAATCCCCCTGCATGAAGGCTTAGGACTGAGAATTTACTCTCCTCTTCTGGAGTCACTCTCCCTAATTATCCCCTCAAAGTCCCGCTGCAAAGTTCACACAGACACGATTCTTGCTTTCCGCCTCTGTCACACCCTCTCTGTTTCTCTCCCTCCCTCTCTTGGTCTGCTATATATATATATTTTCTCTCTCTGCCTGTCACCCCTCCTTTAACTTTGACTCCATCTCTCTCAGTCTCCGTCCCTGCCTTTGTCTCACACTGTTCATCTCTGTCTGCTTCTGTATTCTAGTAAGCCTTTCTCACTTTCTCTCTCCGCCTCCTCTTTACTCTTCCTTCTGTTCCTCCAGTTCAAAGTACTGTGAGCATCATGAGTCTCTCATCACACCAAGGCTGAAGATGGGAGAGCTCTGCTGGTGCTTACTGCCCGTCCACTGATTCTGTCAGGCTTCAATGGGATTATTGTGCGGCTCTGTCCGTCGTCCCCAGTGCTTTCTAGTCAGTCCACTGGACTTTGCCAGAACTAAACCAGAGTTGTCCCAATTAATTTTTAGGAGTCTCCAGTGCTTGTCTGCATTTAAGTCAACAGTCCACACATATACTGTACTCTCAGCGAAAGCAAGGGGTCATAATTTATTTATCCCAAAAGATAAATAGTAGAAAAATAGTGTTTTACTACAAGACGGATTCTGCAGTGTTTTGTACGTTATTTTACAAAGTGAATACATGACTTGTGTTTGTGAATCACATATGATCCTTTTGTGCCACCTTA